CCCCAACTTCAGCCAATCCACTGCATTTTGGGCATTTGACTCCCCTGGGGGTGGTGGTGCAGGGGTATCTCCTGCCCTCGCTGTACTCTTCCATGAGCTGCTGGTGACGGGGCCTGTTGAGTCTTTCCTGAAGCCCCTGGGGTCAGAGAAGGCCCTGGGGTTGCCCCTGGCTGCAGAGCTTCTGGAGGAACTCCACCACCCATGTCTTCCCAAGCATCCATGGGCTCAAGGCTGGCTGCTTGCCCCTGCCCTGCCCTATCTGCCCTTCTGAGTCCCAGCCACGCCTCGGTGTGCCACTCCTGGAGTGATGGCACATGGACATGCAGTGGGCAAGGTGTTCCCTGTTTGTGGGACCACCGTGATCCTACTGTGCTGGAGCAGCAGCTGCTCCTCACAGGGATTTTTCTGCTGCTCTGTGCTGCTGCAGGGTCAGGTTTTTCTTGGGAGCTTGTTGGTTCTCGATGCCAGTGGTGCAGCTGGGATGTGGTTGAAAGAGGAACGAGCGATGCCAAGGCTGCCTGTGAGCCTGCTCACCTTATGCATGGTTTCAGGATACCCGGAAAATTTTAAGGCAATTAATTGCTAAGCCTGGAGTTTGTTTAAATACACCCCAAATGTTGCATAATATCTATTAACTAAATTTTTCTACCCTTTAGGAATGCTGCCCCTTTAGGCTAACTGGATACAACAGTGTTCCACCGCACGTGCATAACAGCTCTCGCTCGAGGTTGTGAGCAGCAGCGTGTTCCTGGCTGCATGGGTTAATTGGTTTGCAGGATAATGGTGATTTTTAGTTTGTGGTGGCAATAGGGACCAGTGACTCTGGTCTGTGAGCCTGTTGGTTGGAGCCTACCTCTGAAGAGCAGGGACTCAAGAAACAAAGCTAGCTGTCAGCTGGTGCAGTTGCTCTGTGGTATGCTTCACTTTTATCGGGGAAATTACCTTAGGGAGCTTGCAAATGGAAAAAGATTGAAAGCCTGCTCAGCCTTTCTGAGGTGAAAAGAGATCATGAAAGTTATCTTTTTGGTATGCTCATTTTTTTTAGAATATTAATTAAACATTTTCATTTTCATGTAATTTTTTCTGCTTTTCTCCCATCCATTTTGAGTCAATTAACATCTCTGTCCTTCTTTTTGACTACATGTGCAATTTTTCTTATCCAAAATTCTTTATTGATCTAATATAGTAGTTAAATGGGGTGACTTCTAAAACACAGTAGGGTAGCTTAGTGAATTTATTTAAAAACTAATGTTTAACATACAGCATCTTCTGTAAAGTTACCAAACATTCTGTGAGTAGTGTTGTAGTTATGGCTGTTTTCACAGAACTTGAGAGTTTGCTGGAGAAATCATCCTTTGGAATAAAATATTTTCTGCTTTTTTTCGTTATAAAAGAGAATAAACTGTTAGTGTTAGTATTTGTGGGAATCCATCCATTTGTCATACCTTGTAGTAAATGATAATACTCTCCTGGCCATTTTTGAGATACTGAAGCATGGAAGTGAAAACCACCTCATTTCATTATTTAGATACATGCAAATAATCCTTTTTTTTGCACTATCTCTGACTGTTCTTTAAAAATTCCACTGCAGTGCTAGTAGATGGCCCTGAAACAGGAGAAACCATTCCTGAAGGTTCAACCTGGTTCATATCTGAGTGTGCTGCCTCTCTTGCTTCGTTGCAAATCCACATCAACCCACTGGCATGATAACGTAGAATGAGCTGCAGAGTCATCCATACCTTTGCTTAACCTTGAGCAGTCAGTCTGGCAAGGGAGTGGAGGATGCTCTTCAGCATAAGGTTTGATGCTTAGAAATCTGCTGAGATGGGAGTAAATTCTTGCTCGGATGAGGACGGCCTTGCTCCTGTCCTGTGCTTGTTGGTGCTGTGGTGCAGGGTGATGGAGGAGGAGCAGTGGGCTGTGTCCATGGGGCAGGCAGGAAAGCTGCCTGCCCTTCCTAGCTGTGTACCCCTGGCATGGGCCTTTCCCGCATGTGGTGGCAGGGAGGTGCATGCCAGGGGGTTTGCTCAGGCAGTGCTCTTCATGCTAGGACTCATGCAGCCTTGCTAGAATTCAAATGAACTGTATAATTAGTATCACTTTAGCTTCCAGTCGGCTGTAATAGGTACCAGGAAGCTGTTTCTGCTTTGCTAATACTGATACTAAAAAAAGTATTTTACTTTCCTACATGTACACCTTACAGAGAAGAACATGCGGTGTGGTGTTTTGTCAGGAGACAGCATAAACTCTGTTTTCCAGTGCCACAACCAGCAACTGTGAAATCTGCATCAAAATGTTTTTCCCAAGCATCCTTTAGGCCATCTAGGGAAAAATACATATTGGTGTGCAGGCTGCTCATACCTGAGCTCAGGGCAGATGCCTGCTCTGGTCCTCACTGACAGCAAGAGAGTTAGTGGTTGAACTAGGGAAACTGATCTGAGCAATCTTCCAGCCTGAAGGATGTGAGGTAGAAATGGATGAGAGGAACTGTAAGAGATATGAGAGAATCAGTGGGCTAGGAGAAGGACGATCCAGTAAAATCAAGTAATAAAACACATCTGCAGGACCTGAAGTTTGAAACAGTAGCTCTATGCTTGCATGCTTGGCACAAATTCCATTTCTAATTTGTCTGCTTCCTTCAGGCTTCCTCTTGCCAGAGAGGTGGTCTGTGTGCCTGCTTTCTGCAGCTGGAGAGTCCTTGGTCTGCTCATGCAAGTGGTGGCAGAGGGCCATAGCCAAGGGAGACAAGAGTCTTCCCTGTAACATTGCTCTTGGGTGGGTGTGCTTGGCTGGTTTTCCAGATCATAGACTTCATGCAGTAGGGCATTAGAAATATTATAGGCTATTAAACCTACTGTTGGAACATTTTACTGCACTAACTGCTGCTTTTAATAGAGTTCAGATCTGACATTTTTGGGACTGAGAGGGCTTGGATGTAAACTTTGTTAAATCAGTTTTGAAAAAGGAAGTTCTTTCATGCTTTGAAGGAGGAAAAAAATCAAGACAGAACTGCAAGTCTCTTCCTTAAATCAAAGTTTTCTGCCTGAAATGGGAACAGCTCAGCAGAACAGTTTAAGTAAACATGGCCATAACTGCTTATCTGAGACATTGGCATCCTCTGTTTTTACTGTGTTACTTTTTTGTGGTATCCTGGCGTCTCTCAGTCACTGATATGTTTGTTCTCACAGCACCTCTTTCACAGGCATATACTTTCGTGTCCATTTGATAGTTGCCACCATGATTTAGGGCTTTATCTGAACAGCTTGCTCCAGAAGTGTATGTTTTCTATACCTTTATAGATGAGAGTTGAATTGCTGTCTGAAGAGTCTTTCCTGCTTCCCGCCCCAACTTTGTCTCTCTTGTGGCTTCTTTATTTATAAGGGGGGAAAAATCAGAGGCAACTGTTCCTGAGTCATCCCAAGTTAGTGTTGAGGACAGACCAGGATAAAATCTAGGCCAGAGACAGCAAGTGATGGATGATACGCACTTGTAGCCTGTGTAGGGGGCCAGTGAGTGTAGTATAAACACTGGGAGACTTGCTGAAAATCCTATATGTACATGACAGTGCTAAGAGTTAGGTACTATTCTCTAAAGCTAGTGCCTGAGCATGGAATCATGGTTCTTCTCCTAGGCAGGAAAAGTGCACTGTATTGTGAGAATGGTTTATTGATACCTAACAGTACACCTTGGGTAAGTTTTGCCTGTGTGTGTTAAAAAAAAGTAGACTCACACTGGGTCTTTTATCCAGGGAGCATTGCCACATGCAAGTAACTTTTGTGCACTTTAAGTGCTTCCACTGTACCATTGCTTGGAACTTCATTATTAAAAATAATTTTTATTGCAGTTAATATTTTGCTCTTACATCCAGCCTCTAAAGGACCAATTTGTTTTAATTTGTACATTAACAACAACAAAAATGTTTTAGTTAAGAGACTGTACAGTAGTAATTTATTCAATAGGTCTTGTAAAGTAGTAAAAAATTAAGTGATGTTTGATAGAGTACTTCTGTATGTTCTGTAACATTCTTCAAAGTAATGGAAGAATAAGAAATGAGAAGTGAGAGAACCCTTTTGTTTTTCCATGGCAATGAATGTGTTTGTATATTTCTGAGGCTCTAGTATATGTTCTTCCTCTTTTTGCCTATGTTACGAGGAATAAAATCAATTAAAGGAAGAAAAAGAGAAAAAGAAGACTGTGCCTCTTGCTCAGTTTTGTTGTGATTCAGACAACAGTGCATCAGGACATAGGAAGTGATCTCAGCCATACTTTTAGTCATATTTTTAGAGTGATATTTCATGATGAAATAGTGTCCAAAATTTTAAAGCTAGTATACAAGCAGATGTAAGTATATTGCACTGCCTGTGTCTATCTAGTACATAAAGAGCTTCACAACTGTTTGGATCTGCTCTTCTTTCATAATGGGCTGCAACTTGTTTACTAATGCTTGAAAGCATGTACACATCAAATAAATCTCTGGTATTTGGGCCATAGTGTACCAGCATTATGCAAAGGGAAGATTAACCACACTCTATATTAAGCTATGATCCACTTCACTCTTGATTCCTAGCTATACTAAATCAACCAAACCATCAAAGAACAGAATTAGTGGAAGGATTCTTTAGACAATAGATTTATTTCAATGTTTATTTGTGTTATTGTTAAGAAAAGGGCAATCAGCAGAGCGAATCTGCTTGGGACTCAGGGCATTATAAATTAATCATAAGACATGCAGTGAGCTTTTGGGTGTGGAAAACCAGCAACAAATGCAAATGCTACGTAGCTGAATTGTATGGTGTGTATGGTGTTGCTGCAACAGCTGAGAGGCAATACGCTTGCTTTAACTGGGGCTCCTGTTAATCGATAGTCTTTAGCAAGCATTATATTGGCAAATCTGACACAGAATGAATTTGCAAGAGTGACTCAAAAGACTTTCCTAACATGAAGCATCTTTAATGCGTATCATTTTAGCTGTTTCCTGTTTTTACTCTGCTCTCTTTCAGCAAAAAGGTCAAGAAAAGCACTAGCTCAGTGGCTGAATTTTTCTGAAGTGCTTTACAGTAGGGAAAGTGGAGAAACCTCTTAAAGTGCTGTCTTATTCAGTAAGTTAAGCCTTTTGTTCTTCAGTTAATTTATTTATTTTCCTGATTTCGGTATTTTTAAAAATATCTTATATATCAGATTAATTAAAATTACTTTTAAGGTATCTCCAGGCAGGTGCAAAACTCCTCATCCTCACCTTTGCTTTCCTTTTCCCCAGAGGTAGTTTTTGCTATATGAAACCTGTTACCCCACCTTGCTAGATACGGAACTAACACAGTTGACTCCACACTACTGTGACATGACTGTCTATCTGCCCTAAATGTGGCTGGTTGCTGCATTCATGTTCAGAGAATTACAGTATATATTGTCTGGCTCTTTCTTTGTCACTTTCCCGGCCCATGTGTGTGTGTGTACCCACACACTTGAACAATGCTCTCCCTTTGTTGATGCACTCTGAAAGCCACCAGCTGCATTAATGATTTTCAGAGCCTAGAATGGGAGCTTTTGGGCTTCTCCTACAGCAGTAAGATAGGTGTGTTTGATACTGCTATCACTATCACTGTAAGCAACAGAAAAAGAGAGAACTGTATCCGTTTCTTTATGATAACCGATGGAAACAGAGGCACACAGGAAGATTTTCTTAATGTAACTAGAGGTTCAGCTAGTGCTGGTGCCTTTCTGCTGATTCCAAAAGAAGGTCAGAGGCTAAAAAAGTTAAGTGCAGAATATTCAAATTTAATTTATAGCATTAAATTATGATGGCTTTTAAGTCTAACTAGCCTTAAGAGTGCTAAATATTTCCAGATAAGGCCAAAAGGACTTTCAGCTGGTCAGCAGTTCTTGTGAATTGGCCTGATACTACTTACTATCATTTTCTTGCACACCTGATATTCCTGCATTTTTAGCAGGTGTGAGTTTCTTTGCTCACATCTTTTTATGCCTCATTTGCTAACTCTTCTGTTCTGAAAAACTGGCAGGATGACAGCAAGCAACTCCCTCATCCTTTTGTGTTAGGACTAATCCTCAGGGTTCTTTCTGATGTGTCTCCAGAAATATGTATTCAGCTTAGGCTGAATGCTGATTTGATTTGTAAAACTAAAATGTGAACAGTGCAGATCGCTTTCTGTCTCTTAAGAAGAAATCACTGTAGAGGTGTACATGATCAGTTCCGTAGTTTTGAACTCAGTCATCTAAAATATGTTTCTAAAATACACATGTATTTTATGTATAAAAAAAGTACTATATGCTGAAGTTCTTTGCTGAATCTCTATGTTTGTCTTCATTTTGCAAACTTGGAGCTTTACAATTAACAATTAGATGACTGATTGCATAACAGGGTATGGTATTTTAGTGCTCTGAATTGTGCTTTGGCATGATAGACAGATTTTTGTTTTGATCTCAGATTATATGGCTTGTTTTTACTTCAGTCTTTTTTTGTTTAACACATGATTTAATTAAAGTTTTGTTGCAGTGATTGATAGTTGCTTTATTTGATACCTGTTTATAGGCATTTATTCATTACTTTTTCAGTGTACTGATATTTGTCAGAAGAGAATGATATTATTTCTTTTGTCAATGAAAATGAGGCTATAAATTACTGTAATTTTGGGATACATTTCTGGTATGAGCAAACAGTATTCCCTTGGCGAGTTTTCTGCTGTGGAAAACTAGGTTATGCATAATATAATTTAGAAAAGACCTGTATGCCTCTAAAGAGGAATGGCACTGTGCAACTCCTGAAAACTAAGAAGAATCTAAATATATGTATATTCTTATTCAAAGTATGCCTCAGCATCTGCAGTGTTCACGTAGGGGACTGAAAGTGATTGGTTGCAGGTTCTGTTTATGATTTTATTTATTTATTTTTTTAACCCTCTTTTGTAGCATGTGGGGTGAAGGATTCAACTCTCTGGACCTTGGTGTAGTCACCTGTCAGGTTCTTCCCAGAGCTGCCTTGCTTCTGCCACTGGTGTGGCTGTGTTATGTCCTGAGGTTATGATACCCGAAGTCACCAAGAATCAAAATGAAAGTCACGTAGACTTTGTATTTTACTGACAAGTACAAAAGGATCTTGCAAAATTACGACTGGAGTAACCTGTGGGAGGAGGAGGATATGATGTATTCTTCCCTGCTAAAATCATAGCGTTAACATTCTTGGCAGCTCACTGAGCTCCACAGTAACTTGTGGTTTACATTTTAAAAATGCACCAAATAGCATATACTGTTTAATTCTGTGTTGCATTACACAACATAGTGCGATTGCCTCAGTGAAGCACATCTGCATTGCAAGAGTAAACTCTCTTGGGAAGCAAGCGCATCTTCCACAGAAGTAGGAGTGAGGCGTGGGCAGGGCATTGCTATTTTGGCAAGCAGAGGGAGCCAGCATTGGAAAGCTGCCTCACCTTTCACTTTCCATGGAACTTACCCTTTCTCCCTCTTTCAGGCACCAGCCACTGCCACTTGCTTCTCCTAGTGGTGATGTGGGGCTGGGGGTATTTTCAGTGATTGATTAAAGCATTTTTCAGGGTTTTGGGAGCCGTGGTCTTTGCTATCTGTCTGGTTTGTTTGTGATCCCTGAGCAGAACTGGCTGTTAGGATGTAGTAAGGAAACCAATTCAAAAAACATCTGGAAGAACTAAGAAAATATTTTGATTTTATTAAAAAAAGCCAAACAAACCCACACCTGTGTGATAGTATCTTCTTTAACTGCTAAGTCAGCAGCAGTTGATGGAAAGTATAAAATTCCTGTAATTTTTATTCTGTGTTTCAGTTTGCTTCTTCCAAGGCTCTCTTTTGCTAGATGCAAAGTCAGACTCCTGCTGTCTCAGTTCAGCTAAAGTTCTTCCTGTCATCCTAAAGCTTGGTTATCAACCCTCCTGTTCCTCTTATCAGCATGCATTACATTTTTATGGCAGTGTTTAGCAAAGACTTTCCAACAGCGCCTATGACAGTGTAATTGGACCTCCCTATCTGACAGAAATTACTCCCTCTGTAAAGGAGGAGTTCTGGATGCTTTCTAACACAGCTTTCTTTGAAGCAGGCTGGGTGTCTAGTCAGCTGGTCTGTAAATGTGGGTGCACAGAATTTCACCAAACACTAGTCAAAGTAGTTATTCATGATTTGCTGTTAAAGCTGCAAGACTGGAGTGAGTGAGATTCCCCAGGGGTCTGCCCTTGCTTTGGTAATACTCATTGTTTTCATTATTGAAATGATTGATGGAGCAGAGAGAGCAACAGTTAAATTTACATAGGATAAGAAGCATGAAGGGGGGCTGCAGGCTTCTTGGAGGGCAGGATTAAAGTTCAGAGCTGCCTTGACTAACTGGAGGAATGGTTTGGGGGAAAAAAAAAAGCCAAAAAACCCAACCAACCAGGACACAAGCTTAGAAGCACTGTACAGGGATAGAAATACTCAGTTACATGGGACAGGATGGGGAATGATTGACTCGGTAGTGGTCCTCCTGTGACCTGGAGTTGGGCTGTGTTGGAGGCAATTTGGCCTGGTTTAGTTGAATAAAATGGTAAAAAATAACATCTGGTTCCCAGACCACCAGAGAAAACCAGTCTATGTTGTGTCCATCTCTTTTCTCCCCTGGGACCTGGGCTGCCAGTGCTCTGCTGAGTGGGCCTGCTTTGGTTCTGACCCTGGAGCTGGTGACCATGTAGCTCCATCATGAGTGCCTGCAGGGAAGTGCCCCAGCCCAACTCCTCCCAGGCCTGATCCGTGTGCTCAGGATAGCGCATCTGAGAGGGAGGGGGAGCGATCACAGACCTGAGACTGTGGGTGTGTCATACAGTCATACAAGGAACAAGGTTTTGCCATCCATTTCCCTCAAAAAAGCACTGTTTTGGGGGTGTGTAAAGAAAAGACATAGCCCATCCACTCCATTCAGTGTTCAAAATGGCTTAACATCTACTTTGGGGCATAATATAGTCAAGTGCCAACTGGATGGTGTCCAGGGAGGATGCAGGGAAAATGATCAAAGATCTGGAAAACACGACCTGGGAAAGATGAAAGAATGGGGATTGTTTAGTCTACAGCGCAGAAGGCCAGTAATAGACATGATAGCAGTGTTCAAGTATGTGGAAGGTTCCTACAGGGAGGAAGGTAGTAAACTGTACTGCATGACTGCTTGGGGTTAGAACTAAAAGAAATGGACTCAATATGAAGGTGGCAAGACTTAGGTAAACATTTAAGAAAGCTTTCAAGTGGTGAGGGTATTTTGGTGCTGCAGTTATTTGCCTTTGAGAAAGCTGTTGGAAGCATCATTACTGGAGGTTTTTATAAAACAGACAAACTTCCTACAGGAATATTTTGGGCATTGCTTTGGGGAAGGAGGTGGAATACATGCATCTGAAGGTCGTTTCCCAGGAAATAATGAAGAATTTTTTTTTTTAATCCTGTGAATTTAGATAATCTAATAACCCAGCAAATAACTCGGGAGATAGTGGCAATTCGTTATTGCAACATACCAGTGGTAAATAGACAGCTGATTTATGCACAAACCCCAATGATGATATTATCCTTCTGCTCTCTGTTCTAGTTAAAAAAAAATCTGAGTAAGCTAATTTTACTGGAACATTTCAAAAAGCTGTTCCTGTAAATATCTTACTCTATACTGAAATAGAGGAAGTGATTTGGTTGGCTTTGCTTATTGAAATATTGTGCAGACACTATCAGTACCCATTACTGATTGTACACAGTGTGGCCGTAGTAAAGCCAGCAGTACTCCATGAGGCACGGGAGCATGATGTTGTATTTTCAGCCTAAATGTTTGTGCACTTGTGTGCTTCTTTTATGTGGAGACAGGGAGCAGGCTGAGAAGAACTAAGCTTCAATTACCTCATTGCTATCTATATACATGAGTTATTCTTTTCCATTGTCTTGCTACATTAAGTGCATGAGGCAGCAATTGAAGAACAAACCTCAAACTTGTCCTTTGCTTCTTAAATCAAGAAGCTCTTCGGCATCTCCTGCAGCCACTGATTGCAGCTCCCCATGCATTTGCTGTTCAGTGTATGGGGGCAGCACAGAGGAAGGGGAGAGGTACTTC